CATATGCGTATACATATGCATATACATATACATATGCATATATATATATATATGTACATGTACATAAACATAAACATAAACATATACATATGCATATGCATAGACATATAATATACATGACTAGTACTACAATGCACACATGCACACTACAATCCACACCGGAAACCTTCTAGAGTACGCAACCCTCAACCCTAAACCCTACAGCCCTGAAGCCCTAAAACCCTAAAACCTTAAACCCCAAAACCCTAAAGCCCGAAAACTTAAACCCTAAAACCCTGAAGCCCTAAAGCCCGGAAGGACAGGCCACCGGATGGACACAGAGACTCCAATATCCCTTAGTTTTGGAATATACCTTAAACTCTTAAATCATATAAGGAGTCCTACTATAATTTACGGCATATAGGCTCCTATTCGGATTCCCTCTATTCCCCACCTCTGGATCCCTTCCTCTTCCGGTCCCCTCTGCCCCCCCGCCCCCACCCCTCCCCCTTCGCGCCCGCTTTCCCGCCATTCTTCCTTCCGCTTTTCCCGCCGCTCTTCTTTTTTATTTCGATTCTTGTTACTTGCTTTCCACCTTGCTTTTTTTCTGCCCCCCCACTGCACTGGCTGAGAGCGGCAGCCGTCGATGCGAGGAGGTTTTAACGTTTGCGTTCGCCGAGCGGTCAGAGGTTCCTATTCGGATTCTCTCTATTCCCCACCTCGCCCTGCTTTCCCTGCACTGCTTACCCAAAAATCCAGCAAATGTGACCTTAGGGGCTGAGTACCCTAGCCCAAAAAAGGTTAACCTTTTGAATTATAGTAGAATTATAAGAGCCCCAAAAGGTTACAGGTTACCTACTCAGCCCCTAAGTGACTGGTTGTTTGTACGCAATCTCCTCCCCTTCCCCGGTCCTCGTCCGCAACGCCGACGGCGCCCTCAAGGCGCCAGCAGCTCGTTTGGCCCTCTTTGTTTGCGGCCGGGCCGAGGCGGACGACGCGTAGCGTTTAAAATTAAGGCTTAATTTAGTGTTTAGGGTTTAGGGTTTAGGGTTTAGGGTTTAGGGTTTAGGGCCTAATTCTTGTATTACCCTTATAGAAACCTTTATAGATCCCTTTAAGGAGCCCTTCAAGGTATATGCCTTAAATAAAGGATATTGGAGTTCCTGGGGACACCTCCAATTGTTAAGGCCCCTACATTATAGAAGCCCTTCTAGTATCCCTTTAACCCCTAAACCCCTCAAATCCTAAACCCCAAGACCCTAACGCCCTAAACCCTTAAACCCTAAACCCTAAACCCTTCTAGTAGCCCTTTAAGCAACCCTTTAAAGGAACCCCCAAAACCCTAAACCCTAAACCCTAAACCCTAAACCCTAAACCCTAAGCCCTAAGCCCTAAACCCTAAACCCTAAACCCTAAACCCTAGACCCTAACTAAAACCCCCGGAGACACCTCCTAGAGGTCCATCTCGGCCATCCGCGCGGCCTGGCGCTCCGAAGCGAAGGCCTGGCATGGCAGGGCCTTTTTTGGGTAATGGGGTTTGGGGTTTGGGGTTTACCTGAAGAACCCCAAACCTACTTTTTTGTAGGGTCCCTGTAAATCCCATATTAAGGTTTATAATAAGAACCTACAAAAAAGGTGGGTTTTGGGTTCTTAAGGTAGGGTTCAGGGTTTAATAACTGGAATAGGGTTTTGGGGCCCATTCTGTGAATTGTATTGGTAATTATTTAGGTCCCTACATTATTTTCTGCGGGTATAGGGTTTTGGGGTTCCTTTAAAGGGTTCCTTAAAGGGATCTCTAAGGGCTACTTTAAGGGTTTAGGGTTCCGGGTTTAGGCTTTAGGGTTGGGGTTTAGGACGTAGGATACTACAAGGAGCATTTTCAGGGGCTCCTGATAAAGGCTCCGTCGAGGGTTCCTTTTGAGAATTTCTTTGGGGGAACCCTTTTAGTAAACCTTTTTAGGGTTCCTTTGAAGGGTTCCCTTAACGCTTTCTTAGAGCTTGGGCTCCTTATTATAGTCCTGCTAGAATCTGCAACCAAGCAACACCCCAAAACCAAGATTCACCCCTAAACCCTAAACCCTAAACCCCCAAACCCTAAACCCTAAACCCTAAACCCTAAACCCCCCAACCCTAAATCCTAAACCCTAAACCCTAAACCCCCAAACCCTAAACCCTAAACC